CGCCAATGACCATGCACAAAATTAGGATCTCTACTACAATCACCGATTCAAGAATTCAAAGAAACCGGTTGCCGAAACAAGGCAAAACAAATTACACAATCCGAAAATCTGTATGCACTCGATAAACATTGACTCGTGGCTATCACCGTAGAAAAGGAACTTAGCTTGTATGACCCGGTCTTCCCCTCACTCCTAAAACATATCATTCTGCTTTTTCATAATATATAACTCGGTTGAAAAAGTACGGTCTATTGATCGCATGCGTTAAGATTGATGCAGCCAAAATCTCCTTTCCAGTTTGCCGAATTCAGTATTTACACAATCTATCAGCTTGCACGATGAGCTTTCTTAGGTGAAACTAATCAATCTCTTAGTTGAGACGTGTGTTAGGTAGCAAATGCATGCATCCAAGACCGGAAATTATTGACGAATTTAGAACCTTCGTACGCTGGGTAAATTTGGCAGATGACACTCGTGACATTGTCAGTCACACAATAATGCTAATGCTCAGCGATCAGCAATCACTTATTGAATGACCTCATTTAATAGTCCACTTTGCTCTATCAACACTTAAAGAACCAAGCTTTTATGTTCATTCGTCATATTCGCCTAAGACCCGACTGATAGCAGTATGAGTTCGAATCTTTATACGTTTACTATATCGCCGCAACACAAATGCCACAATAGGATTACCTCCGTTGTAAGCGACAGCTGCAACTAGGCTTTCAAGGCGCAGTTCTCTCATCGCATTCCAGCTCAACCACCAGCCGGGGGAATAAATGAATCCCGAGTATAAATTTGGAGTGAAGAAAATGAGTCGGTGAGCGATCAATTGTTTTCGGATATTCCTAGTCATGCCCTTACGCATCATTCAGTGGAAAAATTCTTACATAATGATAGCTATTGGCTCAATTTAAGGTCATCAATCTGAGGCGGAGAGTAGTGGAGGTGTAGGAGTATCGGTGTGTGTACGTGTAGGAATGTTTAGCGTGTTATTTGATAGGACCTTTTTGAACTTGGGTCAAGTAACACGTCCTGCTCTGTCTTCGTTTTCACACCCGACCTAGGCAATTGAAGCGCCTGCACGTGGTCGTTTCTGGCACACAGTTTGGGGCTTAGTAAGCGAATGGCGATCGCCTAGGCCATGGACAGTGTCCAAACTCGGGATACGACAAACAACATCGAAAACCTTTTCCTGTTCGACCTTGTGCCCGGTGTCGACGAGATGCCCCACGATCGCACTTGAGATACAGTCAGTCTTCTCCTGACTGTCAGTAAGAACGTCGGTGGACTTTGGAGCACAATGAAAGCACAAATGATAAATCTCATCTACTTTGGCTGTCTTGCTTTACTTCCTACTAGCCACTAAGCTGAATGCCAAACGCGACAGAGCGCGTAAATCTCTATAACGTCAGATTATCAACAGTTTCATGAATGCACGCTAGGATACGTGAATAGTTATATGCAGAGGGATGGTAAAGGAATCAAGTAAGGGCGCATTCGCAATTTTTCCTGTGAAATGATAATCGAGGGCATGTGGAAAGTAAACGTAAGCTATATTATTGAGAAATCCAATGGTGCACACTTTCAATATCTGCAACTTTGTTATGAGCGATGAGGAGAACATTGTGAATCTCAGTTCACCTGGCCGCATCGACACTATATCTCACAAACCTTACTTCCTGTTAATTTCAGTACTCCATCTGATATGCACGTTTCCCAGTAAATAAATTATGTAACATTTATATGACTTTCGACTCAAATGGTTTGTTTTTAACAGCTTTTATTGTCGGAATTTCAGTCCTGATTTTGTAGTTTGGGACATTTTTTAAAATTACAAAGGAGTTAGTTTGATGAAGATTGCCTCTAAAATTCTCGCGGGCAGTATAATCCGTAATTCGTGTGTCACTTTTAAATAGTGCTCAGTTAGATTCAGGCCGCTTGCTGACCCAGTCGAGGCTATATAAATAGTAATTTCTTTTTTCCCTGAAACTATCGAAGGCAAAAACTCCCTAATAAACCCACCGTGTCTGTCTTCATGAATCAGAGAGTACTTTTCAACTCAAGTGGCAGTTCTTTACTCTGGCGATCCCTTCAAAGAAGGGTTTTTCCGAGAGGTTTGTTTAAATATCGCGATCCCTTTTCACAAGCAGTGGAAGATTGGTTTAAGTTTTCGTTATCCTTGGACCGAGTTCCCCACAAATCGGTGTTCGTCAGAGTGGCAATCTCTCTGGATTATTATTTAAAAGGGATATGGTGACATCAGCTTGCTCCTCCACAATATGTAGGGAACATTGTACTACCAAATGAAGATCCAGGTAGGTTGCTAGTATTTCCTGAATTGCTTGTGTTCTAGAGTTCTGCTCTTCAATGTGTAATTTGTGCCTACAGGTGGGAGTTGATCCAGGTCACAAATACATTCTAACCGGCGATATCATGAATGAATTGGCCAATTCTGCCATACGAGAAATAGAACCGCATTTTGTAGAATATGTGATTAAACCGGACTAACCTCATTCATATAAATAGTGATAATTTTATTAAAAAAATAATTTTCAAAACTTCTCTGTACCGAAAATTGTTTTTATTTACGGTTAAACTTTCAAAATACCACAATCTTTTTCGTGAAATGTCGGTTGAGTAGTGCAACAGGATGTGGAGAATATTTAAATTGGAGACGTTCTTCGGGATAAATTACTCACAAATTTCGAAAGATATGTGTGCTATTTTAAACTAAAGTATACTTCCTAATAAAGGTTGCTGCTGCACGAGTTCCATCATCAACTGAATAATAAGTCATTTTCCATTAATGTTCATAAGTATTCCTGTATTCTACGGAAGTGGTAATAGAAGGATTTGGAAGTGGAAGTGTAGCAAACCAAATTCAATTATCGTGGCTTACGATCTGGTGTGTACCTGAAGCTCTATAAGCAGTTTGCCGTTACATGTGAACTCTTGGATCTATGTATCAGCACTCTGTTCTGATAACTGGATTTAGGAGCCGGTGATTTTCCATCGCGGAAGTGTACTCATTAGAACACGTGTACGCAATCACATCCACATAACATTCGGAAGTTCAACAGTTTCTGGAAATTTAGTGTGAAGTTCGAAACCTTTTGTCAGTATTCATCACAGGTCACAAATACAAATCATAGAAGGAATATGATACCATTTCAAATACGTCCATGCATCATAGTAGACTGGAATCATAATTCTACAACACGTTTGTGCACCCGACGAATAGTCTATCGTTTACCGTTTGAATCAAATTCTATTTCGAATACACTGCAATAGCGACTGACTGACAATTAGCTACCTGTATCATTTCATGTATAACTTGTTATCACAAAACGTTTAATACATCTAAAATATTTTCCTACATTTTCAAATTATTATTGGAATATATTTTGTTTCTATCAGATACTTAAGATGCTTAGATGAGGGAGGGACTCGAAAAATGAGCCGAAGAAAGGACAGCCCATGAAACTGTTTGTTG